TGTGTAGTGAAAAATGAAAAGTCTGAGGGGATTTCAAAAAGTTTATGGAAAAATGGAATTAAAGTACAAGGTTTTTGGTACAATGCAATTTTGAAATCCAAGCAAATTTTTTTCATAATAAACACTTTCCATGAACTTTTGAAGACCCCCTTGTATAGGAAGTGAAGGAAGAGCTAGTCCTGCAACAGGAGCAAGCAGTGAATAGAGGCCCACATACAGAATGGCAATTAAATGAGCACACTAAGTACTACAAGAGGAGTCATCTTAGATTTAGAATATAGAAGGGGACCAGCAGATGGCATAATGGTTACATTGCTGAACTCCCACATGATTGACCATGGTTTAAGTCCCAGATTCAGCAGCTTAAAATTCATGCATAGATGACCAAAATCCTGAGAGGAAAATGGATAAGGGATTACAGCATGGCCAACTGCCCTGGGGCGGGGGGTGTGGGTGGGGGGGACAGTGATTTCTCGCCTTCTGTCTCTCAGTCTCTCTAGCAAGTGCACATGCCCTAGAGCAGAAAAAACTCTCTTAAGGAAAATAAAAGAAATTAAAAAGAATAATACAGAAAAATGCCCATCAACATAACTTCATCTTTCAATATTTCCTGTTACATACGAAAAGCCAAGTCACAATCTCAATCTGAGTTTCTCAACTTTGGCACTACTGACTGACAATTTGGGGCCAGATCATTATTGTGGGGGCTGCCCCATACATTGTAGGGTGGTTAGCAGCATCGTGCAGTAGATGCCAGTAGTATCCCCTCTCATTTTGACAACCAAAAGGTCTCCAGATGTTGTCAAACGTCCCCTGGAAGGCAAATCACCCCCAGTTGACAACATTGTTCTAAGTCAATTTTTAGAATTAAATTGCTTTTTAGCATTTTTATTGTTTTTAATATAGTAAGAAATGAGTCTCTATTTAGGAAAATTAGTTTTGCTAATTTGTAATGATGCTAGATATTAGCAATTTTATTAGTAATGCCTGAAATAATGAGTAAGGATCCTCTTGATGAATTTCATATTTTGATTATGTGATGATATTTTAATTCTAATGATCATATTCTAATTCTAAACACTTTACATTGTTAAATTACTTGGAATTATCAAGGTCAGAGAATTTGTGACACCAGTTGTCAAATAAATTGAGAATTTACATCTGGAATGATCCAACTATGAGGATCCAAAGTAGGAAATAGAATAAGTGTTTTTTTGAACAATGCTGAGTTAATAAGTTCAATAGTGAAATGAAGGGACCAGCAGTAAGTGTAATGGCTATGTCACTGGACACCCATACAGATGACTGTGCTTCCAGTCCCAGACCCAGTGGTTTAAACTCACGCTGGGTGCATGTGCATGCGTGCCCAAGATCCCGAGAGGAGAATGGAGGAGAAGGGATTGCAGCATGACCATCCCCCACCCCCACCCGGGAGGGTGATTTCTCACTTTCTGTCTCTCTGTTTCTCTCTATCTCTCAATAAAAAAAGTGAAATGAAGAACAAGCCTTGTGAAACAACTTCATTTGCTAGTGAGATCAAACCTAGACCATTAAAATGATAGACATGGATGGGACTTCAGTGACTGCTATATTCAGTTTCATCAGTTCACAAATGAGATTATTATAAAATTTTAAGAATATATAGTTAAAGGTCTTGCCCAAAGTATACCAGTTAATAAATAATATAAATGGAATAAACACACAGACCTTTTTATTCCAAATTCAGTGCTTTTCTACTTTACCTTTGCTTCACTCAAATAATTAATTAGGCAATTTCCTAGCATGCCCATAGCTATTATATAATAAATATTGTAAGAATAAACATTAACTTCATACATACAGAAGTTTCTGGAGAGCTAGGAGGATTTTCTTTGTCGTCATGTACTATCTTCTTTTTAAAAAGTTTTGAATCTTGGAGAAGTTTAAGTGTGGAAAATATGATTGCAGCACTAAAATAGAGAATATTTTGAATATTATTAGTATTACGCTTGTGGCATTTTATATTATTGGGCCATTGGAAAAGTCATGATGCATTTTTCTATGTCTTTTCTGACAACCCACTTATCTCCTATGTTACTTCTTCCTAAAAACCCTCCCTTACCTCCAACCACCCTCAAAACAGCTAGGAGCCCCTTGTACATCCCCTAATTGCACACTAGTCTTAACCACACAGTAGCACTTATCACACTATTTTCTAGCCTATGTATTGCCCATAAGCTTTCTGTCTCTTTATCTCTGTCTCTCTGGTAAGTGCATGTACCATATAGCAAAAAATCTCCTTAAAACATCTCCAGGTTATAAAATTTTTCTTCTTCTTTTTCCCTTTTTTTTCTATTGTCAGGGCATGGTCACTCTCCAGAGAGCTAGAGAGAAGGGAAGAAAGTACCCCCTCATGGGGCATGGTCATGCCACATCCCTTCTGCTCCATTTCTTCATCCTATTGGGATTTTGGATATACATGCACATGTGCCTGGCATGTTTTTAAGTCACCTGGGCTAGGGTTCAAACATCAGTTGGGATCCAGCTACCTTACCTACTATGCCTTGCACCAGCCCCTAGGAATTGTCTTTACTTCCTATTGCTCCACATAAAAACTTATCTATACTTTGAACTATAAATCCTCCTCCCCTGTAGAATGATAAATTTATAACTGATATCATATTTCTTCAAAATATTTTAATGACATACATTAGGACCTGCTTTCTTTTGAAAATCTATCCCAATAGGCAATTTGTATACCAGAAGATGTTCATTGTAGTGTTATGTATAACACAGAAAGATTGAGTGAAAGCCAGTGGACAACACAGTCATCTGATTCCTCACTGATGTCTCCACTTATCTATTAACAAACAGTTATATCTAATAGATGCTATGAGTTTAATTTTGTCTCCCTCAAACAAAACATATGTTGAAGTTTCAATCCCCAGTACCTCAAAATGTAACCTTATTTGGAAATAGTTTTTTGTTTTTTGGTTTTTTTTTTAAGAGAGGAAATTAAGTTAAAATAAGGTCATTAAGGTATGCTTTAATGCAATATGACTGCTATCCCTACAAATAGAAGAAATTCAGGACTGGCTCCATGGTGTGGCAGTAGCATGCTGGTTAGGAGAAGCAGAATTTCACATAGAGACAGCAGTTCAAATCCCTGACCCAGTCAACCTGAAACACATCCAGCATGTGCATGAGTTCCCATGATTAGACCAACCTGGAACAATGAAAGTGACCAGACCCTGTGGCAGCCATACTTCTCCCTCTCTCTGTCTCTCTCTTTCTCTCACTCTCTTTTATGGGAGAAATAAATACATAGACTTAACAAAAAAAAATTTATATATTTGTAAAGTATATGAATATTCTATAAGGAATTATTTGTGATTATCAAAATATTTTACTTAAAATTAAACAAGCAAGAAAATAACAACAGCAACAAGAGAAAATGCAGATTCAGCCTGGATACAGGCATGCCATTTCCTCTTCCTGACGCTTTCTCACTTAAGGCCACTCAACACTTCTAAAGCATCCTGTTGACTGAGTAGCTTCAGAGACTAGCCCAACATGGCTACTGGAGGACACTGGAAGAAGAAATTTATGTGCATCCCATTCTTCTGATCATAAAGCCCAGATTCTGGTTTCAAGAAAAATGAGGTAGGTGGTTTGGAATTTTGCTAACTCAAAAACTTAATGACTAAAATATCGAACACTCTTGTACATTGTAATCTGCCTAACACTGCTGAGTTGCAAAATAAAAATCTTTTGGTTTCTTTACTACATAGACAAAAAATATGGGAGCATTATACACTATCAACTGTCTAAAATAAAAAAGTTTCATTCTTAACACAAAATTAAAAGGCTCAAGCATTTTCCCATTTACTGATAAGAAATTAAATATGAAGGTGAATAGAAAGAGATAGTTATTAAAAAGGAAAAAAAGACAGGATCCTGAAAGAGAGAGGTAGCCCTAGAAGAAGTAGAATATAGTTTAAATAACTTTGATCCCATTTATTTCTTATTAACATTCATGACTAAAATGGTCAGTTTGTTCTCACGCAATCCATGCAGCTCACTCTACCTGTCACCCTGGGGAATGTGCCTTTCAATTTCCTTGACACATAATTTTATTAGAAGTATCGTGAAATGTCAAGCTAACCATCATCTGGAAAAAGGACCATCCAACACTCTCAGCAGCGCCCAAATAGAAGATCGCGGGGGGCTAAGTTCATGTAGGAAAAGCTCATTCATCTTGGCAGTAGGTTTCATCCAAATGACAACTCTGCTACAAAAAGGCAATAACATCAAAGTTTTTGCAGGTTTCATCCTAAGGGCCGGATTCATGTATTTATAATGGGGGTGATTCTGATATATTTGCATCCGTCTATCTGGTCTTCAAATTAAAGTTCTATTATGGCAGTCCTTTCTGTGGCATTTTATAATTTTTATTTGCTCATATCCTTCCTGCTCACTAGAAGGGAAGGGAAGGGAAGGGAAGGGAAGGGAAGGGAAGGAAAGGGAAGGGAAGGGAAGGAAAGGATAGGATAGGATAAAAATACCTCACTTTTTTTTAGACACAGGAGAGGTAGGGGAAAGAATGAAGGTAAATCAAGAAATATTTTCTAGGACTGCTGTTGCCCTCCAAGGTATAGTTTGGAGAAAAAGAGTTGTACAAGAATCACATAGGACAAGTTCCTCCTGGATCCAGCAGGTGGTATGGTGGTTAATGGGCTGGACTCCCACATGGCTGATCATAGTTAGATTCCTAGAGCCAGTGACAGGTGCCTATGAATGTGCATGTAGCCCAAAATCCCAACAGGAGAATGAAAGAGAAGAGAATGCAGTATGGCTATTCCCCCTTGGGGAGTAAGAAATGATTTCTCACCTTCCCTGACCCTGTCTGTCTCCAGTGAGTACACGTATTCAATGGCAAAAATCTAAAAAAAAATAATAATAAATAAATGAAATTTTTTTAAAAAACCTGCATCTAATAGAAATTGTGTGTTAAGTTAAAAAAGGAAAAGTTCCCTTCCCTTCAAACTTCAACAGAGAAAATGATACAGTATTATGCTGAGCCTATTTAACATAAATCAACCACCACTGTATACTTAAAAAGGGAGCTATACTTAAAATGAAAGCTATAAATCAACCACCACTATAAACTTAAAAAGAGAGCTGCTAAACTAGTCGGTCTCAATTTTTTCTATCTCAGCACCTTTTTATTCCCTCTAAAAACTATTGAAATCCTCAAATAGCTCCACCAATATTTACCACATTAGAAACTAAACTGAGAACATGTTAATTTCCTTCACATTTGTCAATTCATTTGAAAATAAGATAATAATAAATGTATTACATGCTAACATAATATCTTTCTATGCAAAACAATTACATTTCAAAAAAATAGTGATGAGAATGCCATCATTGTCTTTTTGTTTGTTTAGGTTTTTGCCATAGGCCATGTGCACTTACTTGCTGGAGAGAGAGAAAGAGACAGAGGGAAAGGGAAAGTGAGAAACCACCCCTCAGGAAGATGGCCATGCTGCAATCCCTTCTCTTCTATTCTTCTCTCAGGACTTTAAACACCCACATACAAGTACCTGGCATGATTTTCAAGCCACCAAGTCTGGGACTTGAATTGTGGTGCGCAGTGTGAAAATCCAGCACCTTAACCACTATGTGACCTAGCAGCCCCACCCATCATTGTCTTTAATGTCTGACTTAGTAAAAGACAATCTACTTAAGAGAAAACATTCACATCTGCATCTACATTCAGTCTTTTGTGACATACTGTTTGGGTTGAAGTATCTGAAGAGGATTAGTCCTCATACAGAAAGTTGTTAAAATGGGAGGAATATTTTAATAGTATTTTATTAAATAATATTCTATTTTGCTATAAAATATGACCAGTGATAGTTTTTTTAAGTCTGTTGCAATGTAGAATGTAAATTTTTCTATGCTATTATATTAAAATCTATTGCTATATCTTGTTCACTGGGATTTTGTAACACTATACACTAGTCATTTCAAAAATATTGACTCCTGAATTATGTGGAGTCTTTTAAACATTTTTTAAAAGGATATTTATTAGTATTACTACCAATCTCATAGAAAAAAATAAAAAATCTAAACATTTGAAAGCTGTCAAGCTCATTGTAGCAAATAGAAGTTCTTCAAAATTGTAATCATCCTAGGGAAATTCAAACTTTATCATTGGCAATAAATACTACCAATTCTTTTCCTGGAAATGGCATGCTTATTTTGCTCAATTCCAATAAAATGTCTGTCAAACATCCGAGTTTGAATTGCTTTAGCTTTTTTTGTTTCTTTTCAAAAAAAGTGGTGTACCATGAAAACCTCTGCTTGTCCAGATCTCAGTTCCTCAAGACACCCATCAGCTTCTCTATGTGGCAGACATGTCTAGGCATATCTCCCACTTAATACTCACTCAGGATATTAAAATCATGTATCTGAAGTAAGAGAGTTACGTACAGGACAGATTCTATTGCTTCATTAAGTGAAACTGGCTTTTTCTAAATTTCATGTGTGCAGGAATGAAGACTCTAATGACTACTAGTGCAGTTTGGTGCCCCTGCTTTGATTTATGGTGATGCACAGAAAATTTACCACTGTTGCTTTTGCAACATTAATGCAAATAACAGAGAAGGCAAATGGGATCTTGGTTTTACTAGAAAAAATAGTTCTGATCTCATGGATCCTACCTACCCCCAAAAGGGTTTCAGAGACATACCAAAAGATCTGCAGAAAACACTTTGATAATCACTTTATTTATAAACATACTTTATAAATTTTTATCACTGCTTAGAAACTATGAAAATTATAAAACCCCCATCACTTATACTGTCATCTAGGTTTAAGTGTGGTTACTCATGGAACAGCCTGCAGTCAAGGCTCCTATTGATGAGATGACCGTATATTTCCCATCAAAGAAAAGAGGGATTTTTGCTGAATTGATCCCCACCCCAACCCACCCCTAGAGAATATACAGGTGGACTACTGTCTGCAGTCTATGACAGAAACTTAAAGACTGAAAGGTATAAAGGCATGGAGAAGAACTGTAGATAGCAGAAACAGTGTGGGAGGAGGGTAGGCAATGGGGACAGGGATAGGAGGGAAAGAATCAAGAGGAAAAAAGAAGCAAAACATTTAACAAACACAAAAATGGAAATTTCTGTTGTGATGATAATGTATACGGTAATAAGTTTGACTGGACTAATATACAGTGTATTTGTGCTGGGAAAATCCATTTTATATTCTGTAAAGATGTACAGTGTTTTAATATAAAAAAATAAGGAAGTAAAAGAAGAGAAGAAGAAAAAAAAGAATGACAATCTAAAAATTAACTTCTTCAAATTCTGGATCAAATGCATGAAGTTTAATACATAGAATTTTACTATAAATGAAAAGAGGTAAGGAAAGAAAAATAAACCAAACATCTACATTGATACTTTCTTTGTTCCATTCAATGACTATAGCATTTCTTTTTTTAAAAGAATTATTTATTTAATTTTATTTATCACTATTGTTGTTTCATAATTTACTATAGGGCACATGCACTCACCACAAAGAGAAAGAAAGTGAGAAAGTGAATCGCCAGGTCCAGGACTCAAACCACAACTGGCCATGTGAGAGTCCAGAAACTTAACCACAATGTCACCTGCTGGCCCAGCTATATCACTTCTATAATTTCTATTT